GGATATGCAAATGCTAAAGAATTTTTGGATTTAAGTGAGTCTGCCTGGCTATTTGGCTCATTTTATTCTGGTTTGTTCTAAACCTGCTATAGCAATCTAATATGTCCTCTTAAACAGTGGCATGTAATTTAGGGAAGAGCTATGTGCAAACATAACAGCTAACCTGTAGCACTAACTACTGAATATTGCAAGTTATAATGATTATAAACATGGAAAATCATTACTGAACCCTCAAAAAAAAATTAAAACGAATATGACATACAGTAGAATTTCTAATAGGGTTTATTTCCATTTTCTAATGAAAGATGCTGTAATGACTGTGACTGTTACAATGCTTCTGTTCCCTAAAGTGAGAGATGCCCATCTGTTTGTACATATTTGTGTTTCATTCCATTACAGGTAGTCCTTGATTTACTACCGGTCATTTTATGAGTGTTAAAAGTTATAGTAGCTACCGAATGAGTGCTTTATGGCTCAAAATGCACTCCCAGCGGGTACTTTACAGCCCATAAAGCACTCCCAGGAGTTGTAAATGGTTGTGCTGTCCCCAGCAGTCATTTGATTGCATTTTGGACGGGTCAGCTTTATGATCGGTGCTGGCACTCTGCAGTCATATGACCATGATTTACGATATTTTTTGCCAGTTTCTGGCAAAAAAACACCCATTCAAATGAATGGGTTCGCTTAATGACAGCCCTAAAAGAGGCCACAAAATTACTTCCACTCATGTGGATGCCTTGATTTACGACTGTAGCAGCTTACAACCAGATTTCCAGTCTCAATTACCACCGTAAGTTGAGAACTACCTATATGAGTGGTCATGAATTCAATTTTCTTTTTCTACCATTCCCAGTTGCTGTGATAAAGCAACATTTTGTGTTGCAATTGGATTTTTTTCTTTTTTTTACAGTGGTGAATTGTGCAAATGAACATAATGCCCAAATCTATTTCCAACGTAACTTTGTGATTGGGACAAACTATCAAATGTCATTATTGTGGCAAATGTTCATTAATCTTATTTATTCTTTTTTTAGGAGTTAGATTTTTGTATGCAAAAAGAGAAAAAAATACAAAACCTTATGTTTTATATGCTAATTGAATACTTATTAGATATACATAGTTATGTGTATTGTTATTTTAATTACAATTTATAGGAAAAAATAGGAAATTAAATATATTTAATGAAATATGCAAGCTTACCATATGCTTATTATGTAGTTGAAATTTTTCTATAGGGACTCCTAGCAAAAAATTCTTATCTAGAAAATCAAAATATAATTGATGGAGAACTATTATTATAGGACTATTGTTTTATAATGCACATGTTAAATTCTATAGTATTTGAAAGACTAGTTTGCTAGTCCATATCTAGATACATTTTGTTCTGTTCCTGAATCATTTCTATAAAGTCAGTTAAAAGAGCCCTTGAATCTTCAAAGATGGGGTGTGTGCGTGCACGCTCGCATGTATGCATGCGTGCATCTTCCATATGTGTAGCACTTTATAATAGGTTTGGCTGGTCTTTGTCATTAAAGAAACTTATGTGCATCATGTGAAAACACTTTGTGGTTTAAGCATTCTGCATTGGCACTTTGCGTTAGTACATTTGCTATTTTTATTAAGAATAGGCTTGCAGGCCCTTCTTAGGTGGCCATTAGAACACCATACACATACTTTTGACAAAAAAGACCATATGCACACATTCAGCTACAAAGGACCAGTATCTGATAGAATGATTTTTCAAGTTTCTCTTTATAAGCAGTCCTCAACATATGACCACATTTGAGACTGGAAGATCTGTCGTTAATCAGTGTTAGTGAGGCATCAGGTGTCTGCGCCCAATTTTATGATTTTTTTCACAGTCATTAAGCAAATCATCCTGGTCATTAAGCAAACTATCACATGACCATTATTTTTGACCTTCTCTGCCAGCTTCCCCCCCAGAAGCTGACTGGGAAGGTTGCAAAAGGTGATCAGATGAACTCTGGATTATTGCAACTGTTGTAAATGCGAGCCAATTGCCAAGCGCCCATATTGTGATCATGTGACCACAGGGCGCTGCAACGATCATGTGAGGAGCAGTCACAAGTAACTTTTTTCAGCACCGTCATAACTTTGGTAGCTAAACAAATGGTTGTAAGTCAAGGACTATCCCTAAGTAAGAAACATCTAGATTGAAGGCATCTATTTTACTGAATCCATCAGAAAATAAGCCAAAATGTTTTCCTACTAATGCTGCTATGACCATTGCAGGATATTATTAATTTTTAAAATGCATTCCTCTAGTGCAAAAAGTTTTTTTCAACTTAATTTAGATCATCTGATGTATTCATATATACATTTGGAAATAACATAGAAGTGGATGTAAAACTAGCCTTCATAGAACAATATATAGATTTTTTTGCAATAAATGGAGTTATGTTCAGGCATTATCAATCAAAAGATGACATTTTGCTTGTACCTGGGCCTTTCTTGGATGCATACAGCAATTTTCCTGCTTCTGAAGGCAGAATGCCTGTTGTTCCAATGTCCTTTGTTTGTAGCCTTATTTTTCTGTCTCTTATTATAGAAACTTCTGTCTCTAAGAAGAAGAGGCTATGTGTCAAGCTGATCCCAATGGGTGTGGCAGAAACAGCTGTGTGTGACATCATGCTAAGCAGCAAGAGCAAAGTGATCCCCAATTACATACGCGTTGGGTGAGGTGCTGCTATCCATGTCCTCTGCCCTCGCACATTGTCTCAGTTTTAAAAGACTTACAAATTTTATTTATCTTCCTCTCACCTAGGGAAATAAGTGGTTTTGCCCTTTGGTGTAAAAAAGAACACATAAACAAACCTAGACCCCTTCCCAAACCAAGGAGTATCAGTCTAGAAATGAACCAGCTTTCATTAGAAACAGCAAAGTAAGTTTTGATCATTTTTCATTATATAATAGAACCTGTACATTTTGGTGTGATTTGTCATGTTTTTTTCAGTAACATGTATCTAATACAAAATGCGGAAACATCATGTCATGTAACAGTACTGTTGGCTGCTTCCATTAGTTTATCCATCTCTCGGACTATATATGAACCAAGATAACTTTGTCATCAGGCAAAAAGCAGCTTGAGTGGGTTTGTAGGACTAAAGAAAAAGGCCTATAAAAAGATTGACGATAGCAGAACCAGAAAGATGGGGTCTTAAGCAATGTTGGGAAGAGATTTCTTAACATTAAGACTCTTCTGAGGATGGTTACGATTGCGCCTCAGAATGCTAGATGAAATAAATAAGCAGTGTTTATTTTTCTACTTCTGGAAGCATCCAAGTTAATTTTTTTTCTTTACATAAAATAAGGATAATGGAAAACAATACAGAGAAATTAGATATTCTTGCTTGCCTTCAGAAATCGTGGGCGCTCCATCACTGGAGGTTTTTAAGAAAAGACTAGACAATCACTCGTCTGAAATGGTAAAGGTTCTCCTGCTTGAGCAGGGGGCTGGACTAGAAGACCTCCAAGGTCCCTTCCAGCTTCTATTCTATTCCTATTATTTCTATTTCTATTCTATTCTATTTACAGAAGTGAGGATAATTTTAGGTTAAAGGTTAGTGAAGCTTTCATTCATGAGGTAAATTAATTAAAACCTCATGCATACCTCTGATGAAGACAAGGACAAGCTCAGATATACTGATTGTGTAAAAGTTGTAGCAGTTAATTGATCTATAAAAATACATTCAGTAAAACAAAGTTAACCCCTAACATCAGTAACTGTTGGTAACCATTTGTGGGCAAAGTTTCCACATAGTGTAGCAGCATTTTGCTACTTACAGGGGTAGATTAATCCTGGTTGTCTAACAAATATTGCAAATAAAAATTATTGGAGTGCCCTGGTAATTTAGATAAATCGGGCAATCAATTAATAGCAATGTCTTGTAGAACTAACAGTACAAGAGAACATGGGCTGTGGTTGCTATGGCAAAAAAGATAACAAGTAATGAATGAATTAATAACTACTGCAAAAATTAATTTTCCAGAATAGAATGTTGGATTTGTAAAATTAATTGATCCCTGTGTGCATACACATAAAAACTATTCTGTATCCAAATCAGATCAATAAGAAGTTTTTGTGCTAGGTTACAAGAAAAACAGAAGCTTATCCATGCTTACAGGTAGTTCTCATTTAACAACTACAATTGGGACTGTAATCTTAGTTGCTGATTGAAGTAGTCATTAAGCAAGATACCATGAGACTGTTTGCTCAATGATGGCAATCTAAGCACTCTTGGTTGGAGTTGTTAAACATTCTCATGGGTTGTTATGCAAACTGTGTCCTAGGCAAAGACTGCAGGTGGCCTCAGGACAATGGGGAGACACTTGCAGGTGGCCTGCACTGGGCCTCCATTACTTTTCTGAGGCATCCCATGCTTCTTACCTTACTGTGCTGCTTCTCCACTCGGGTTGAAAATCCTGCTTGGATTTCAGCTTCCTTTTGCCTAGGAGCTGGCTGAAAGAGCTCCCTGCCAAAACATTTCAGCTTCGTGCAGGTAGGCATGAAGGATTTTAGCTCCAGGGAAGCAGGCCCAAAGGATTTCAGTTCCATGCAAGCATGCCTGGAGCCAAAATCCTTTGGCAGTGCCCATGGGAGTGCCTATGATTGCACTTGGTAGTCAGTTATAAATGCGAGCAGGTTGCAAAACACCCGGCTTGCAATTACATGACTGGAGTGTGTGTGTGTGTGCATATGACATTTGTAATAGTTGGAACTGCTTTACAAACTGTAAAGCACTCTTTCCGAGGCCTTTGTTAATTCACGCTGTTGCTAAGCAAAATCCCATTGTGTTCAGTGGCTCTTACTGCCAATATGATTAGGTCTTCTGTTTCTGTTGAGACATTATCTTAGTTTCACCACTCATTGACCAGCATGTAATAAGCAAGTATCTCCGGTAAACTTGCTCTTGTACTGTTTTAACAATGATTTTTACAACTCTAATTCACATGAATAGCCTACATGGCAGAAGAGACTATCTGTTGCAAAGAGCAACTTGCACCTGAAGAGTGACAAAAGAAGGGGAAGGCTTGCAAGTAGTTCTGATCTAAGGCTGTTGATTTAACAATGGTCTGGAATTATGGCCTTCAAAAAGCGCTTTATTGCCTGTAAAGCCCTTCTGCCCATTACTAAATGTTGCACCATCACTCCTATGGTCACACAATTGCAATCCGGCTGCTTTCAACTTGTTTACGCTTATAACAGGTTGCCAAGGGCTCCACAATCATGTGATCACCATTTGGTATCTTCTCTGCCAGCTTCCCAGAAAATCGGTGGGGAAGCTGGCAGGGAACGTTGTAAGCTGCTGCCGCTTGGTAAAAAAACTCACTCTTGCTTCTGGAAGATAAATGGTTCCAACTGTGGTTGTCAGTTGAGGACTATCTGTAATATACTCACAATATTTTAAATCCTCTACATAAGAAAGTTTCTCCACCTTTAATACTTCCACATTCTCAGTGCTTGCAAGGTCTTCTCCCATACCAAAGAGAGTACTTTGTGGACAAAATAGATCTTCTTTTCTGATGAATGCAGGGATCAGTAATCTTTCTGGCTCTGTCATGATTGTCCAAGTGTCAAAAGTGCATTATTCTGTTGATATATATGTTGTTTTTCTATGACACAATACGTTTCACTCACTTTTTATTAAGTTTTTAATTTTTTAAATTAATTTTTGTCCTGTGCAATTCTTAACCTTCCTCAGGAAGAACAATTACACATTTACAATTATTGCTAGGGCAAATATTTGTTTTTGAGGTGCTGCAAGCACCCATGAAAGCTGATAGAGATGCTGGGGAATGATTGAAACAATACAGTTCATAACCTACTAACAAGACCGCATGTGTTTCTTCATTTTAATCCTTTCAGCGTAGACCCTCTTTCTATTGGCTCCAAAAGACAAACTACCATTAAGAAAAATGAATCTATATACGATACATCAAATACCTATGGTATTTCAGGTAAGGACCTTCTATTCAAGGAGGTAAAGCTTATTTTGCTTCTATGGGAGAATGAAGCATAGAACTGAACTTCAAGAAATGTTCCAGAAGGTCGCAAAAGGGGATCGTATCACCCCAGGATATTGCAACCGTCATAAATATGAGTTAGTTGCCAAGCATCCAAATTTTGATCAACTGACCATGGTGCTGACCAGGACTTAGGGGACAATGTCAGAGACAGATGGCCCCTCTGTCTCTGGTCACTTGTAGTCCTGGATGCAGGGTCATGAAAGGACAGCAAGGACAACACCCAATGTTCTAACCCACCCAAGAACATACGATATCTTTAGGGAACACCTGAATGGGAACATGTTTAGCTACTTCTGCTTTCTCCTTTCTTATCTACAGTGTGCCAGACTTACTGGGTGCAATCTTTATCTTATGTGTGTCAGCTTTGCTAGATGGATTGCTTATGTAATTATACAGAATAAATACAAGGATTTATTGTCATTCGTTGCTCCTCTCATTTAGAGGGGTCCGTCTCTATTCAGCTGAATAAACACGTAAACTTGAAGGCAACTTCTGGTTTCCTGTATTTCTTTAACCAGCAAAACCTCAGAACCTGCAAATCAGTGGGGATGCCGTAATGGTCATAAGTGTGAAAAACAGTCATAAGTCACTTTTTTCAGTGCCATAGTAACATGGCTGTAATTTGAGGGCTACCCGTATTCCTGAAGCTGTCTGTTTTGCAACTTTCTGGAATTCTGTTGAAATGAGGCTGTAGATAGTGATGCAGCTTCCTACATTTTGTGCATCAGTTATTGCACTTAGATATCCATCCTGTGAATTTTGCTACATTTTCTAAGTACTGGTGGAGTGGCCTCTTGAAAACATTACTTTTGCAGTGATTTTTTGTACAGCACAGGGAAAGAGCCTTCTGTGTTGCTTTTTCTTGGGTTTAGAAAATCTATGAAGGTATTTCTGTAAACTTGGTGTTCGAATTACAAGTATTTTGTTATATTTTATATAACATCATTTTTAACCTTTTATTATTGTAACAGGTTTTTAACCTTTCACTACAGTATTATGATTTGTTGTGTGCCACCTCACTGATCTGTAAATAATCACCCATTTTAAAATCTGGTTACTTTTCTGGCAATCTGAATCTATTTGTTTCCTTCTTAGCCATAGATGGGGTCCCCTTTACTCTGCATCCTAAGTTTGAGAACAATGTCACTCATGGTACCACTGTAAGTATTTTCTGTTGGAGTCGTGTAACAGTGTAAAGGAAAAAAATAGATGAAAAAAATAGATAAAAAAGGATGGAAACTAATCAAAGAGAGAAGCAACCTAGAACTAAGGAGAAACTTCCTGACAGTTAGAACAATTAACCAGTGGAACAACCTGCCTCCAGAAACGGTGAATGCTCCAACACTGGAAGTTTTTAAGAAGAGACTGGACAGCCATTTGTCTGAAATGGTATAGGGTTTCCTGCCTGAGCAGGGGGTTGGACTAGATGACCTCCAAGGTCCCTTCCAACTTTATTATTATTATTATTATCTATTCCTTCCTTATGCAAAGTTCATTATTCTGGAAATGAAACTTTGCAAAAATATTGTTTCCCCCTCCCTGGGCCATGTCATTCCAGAAGAGTCAGCTTCTAGAAATGAATCTCTAAACTGGAAGTAGCTTGAAGATGTTCCAGATATGTATGGAAATAACTTCTCACCCCAATGGTATAGACTCAGTTCCATTCCCAGAATGATAAACGTCTGGCTTTCTCCAACTGACTTGAAACTACCACTCACAATATTCCCAGCCATCATGGTAGCAGTGGTCTTCGCACAGATGATATATGAAAAAATCCAATAAATATAATTTAAAAGAATTGAGGAAATACAGATAATATACTGGGGAAAATGTAGTGTAACCTATGTCAGGTGGAGTGCCGGAGTGCCGACAACTGTCACAATTACTTTTAAAAAGCTTACTAGAAGACTTCAGTGAGCTTTCTCTCACCTAATTCAATTAGATTGAATGTTGCTAATGAGAAAACATGTTTTCCTGTAGCTGTTTTGGAGTAAGTAAGGATTGTAAGAATAGAAGGGCCATGGAATCTACTTAGTGCAGGAATTAGTTTAAATTCTAGAAATATTGATAAGAATAATTTCTGTAAATTGCAATATAGATCAATTGGCTAATGACTGAATTTGTTTTTATTTTCTAGGCCCTTTCAATATTTAAAAACTTTCACATCAAGTCTCTTGCTGACATTGAGAAAGAGGTGAGCAAAAATTAAGATTAATTCAGACCTGGATCCTTGTTCCATTCAGATCCGAGCTACACAATTTTGTTTAGCAAAGTCAAGTGTGTCTTTCCCTTACACATGTATTCATGTATTATTAGCTGAGCTGCAGGTCCTTTCTGGTTTTGAATATGGGGGATCTTGCTTTTTTGTAACCGTATTTTTTGTTTTGCTTTTCTATAGTATGACTACAGTTTTGTAATTGAAAGAACTGCAGCTGCGAGACTCCCACCCACCATTTCATAGCATCAATCATTTCCTGGAGAGTTCTTGCCGCTAGGGGCTTATGGGTGGTCAAGCTGACTCAACTAAGCTGATGGAATACCTGCCTCAAAGGGATTGTGCTGTTGGGGGCACTGCTTTACTAGCTGAAACTAGTATAATTGTAATCCTGCTGCTATTATATTTTGCTACAGGTACGAGTTGAGCTACTTTTGTATACACTTTTTCCAAGCATCATATCTATTTTCTTTGCAAAGAAAAATGTATTAAAAGTAAAAGGCTTATTCTACCAGCAAAGTTATGCTTGTACTTATTTCCTCCTATTTCAAACATTCTGAAATGTGTATTACTGCCAATAATGATGTTTATGAAAAATGAAAGATATTGCTCTATTGTTTAGACAGATCTCACATCAAAACAAGATTCAATATGGGGAGGGGGAAACTAAGGATATATTAACTCAAAGAAAAAAAAATCCCCCCTGTTCCAAAATGCACTGATTGCCGTTTTATTATCAAATCTCATGACCAACCTTCCTAGGAGGAGTGAAGAGGCAGTACAAAGGTTAACAACTGCTGCTCTGTTTGGCAGACTTGTGAAGATTAATGTAGGCCCTTGCACAACTTTTGTTGTGCTTTCCAGACTTAACACAATAAAAATCGGCTTGCCAGTCCCAAACTGGAATAAAACAGCTATCAAAGAATAAATATTCCTTTCGTAGTGCTGCATTTCGGTGGTATCTCTTTCTGGCTGTCCTTCACTTCACTTCTGCGAAGGGAGAAGAATGAGTCTCAAGAAGGCACTCTGAGCTTTGTGCTGCCTAGTAGGAACTGCAGGATCCTGTCTATGAGCAGAGCAATGAAGAAGTTGGTCACCAGTACTTTAGTGATCACTAGTTTAAACTGAAATAGAAAAAAAAACAACAAGATGTACCAAGTCCCAGAAAGAACATTTTTCCTATTGCATTCAAATCTAGTTAATTATCAAGCCTGGAATGAAAATTGTTCTATAGTCTTGAAATAAAGATGGGAGTTGATCTTGTAAATCAGTAAGCAAGGAATTTATTATTAAGCTGGTCATCTGTCCCATTCATATTTTTAGTAGACAGAAATCTATTATTGGTAACTATAAGCAGCATACAGCTACAACATTCTTTTGGTTATATTTTTAATTTGTTATAGGGAAAATTAACTCTCTGAAGAAGTTTTAGAAACACACTTTCACTACATTGCTAGGCCTGCCAACTCCTATTCCAAAATACATGGAGTACACAAGACTGCCTACACTTAGTCTTACTCACTATATGTGTCTAAGTAATTTTCAGTTCTTCCCCCAAACACATTATACCTTGCCTCAATTATCATTTGTCCTGAACAAAAACAAACCTGTTTTTTTTGTTTTCCCAAGTCCCTGCATTATGTAAATATTTTTCTAAGATCAATATAACCACGCAGCAGGTGCAGGAGTTTACTGAGTCATAACACTGTGGACCTCCTTGTCCTCAGACTACTGTGCATTTGCTGGAAGTAAAGTACTCATCAAAACATCTCCAATTCAAAAAAGAGGTTTGAACTACTGAAACCCAGAACATGTCTATCAATATAGCAGTTTCCCCCCCCCCTCTTTATATTTCTACAGTTAGTTGGAAAAGGGATATTAAGAGGACAGGCCTAGCAAAGGTCTTTCTTACTCACCTCTGTTGGGATGTCCACAAGTCCAAATTGTTCATTAAACTCTGGGGAGGAGCCAGTCAAAAGGGCAACAATTGCTAATCCTGAAATGATGATGCTCCATAGCAGAGGTTTGTTTTCCCTTAGACTTTCCATGAATGGGTGGCCCTAGATAAATAAAACCAGGGTGTGGAAAGATGGCCAAACTATATCAGTAATTTAGGAGTAGAACTGAAACCTAAACTGCAGATGTCATACAACGTACTAATAAAAGGTTATCTTATTTTACCACTAATCAAGGTATAATTTCTTTGGCAAGTCTTTTCTTACAAAACTGAAGAGTATTCTCAGGTCATAATGCTGTGGGGCTACATGTGACAACAGCCTCACCTTCGCTGTGAGGTTTTATTATGACACAGAACACATTTTTCACTTATTTGTGAAAGTGCAAGTGTGTATCCAACCTATCTTAGTCAAATAGGACTGAGGAATTGCTAAAAGGGCCTGGCACCCCCTTTGATCTCCTTTCATGATTAACTGGAGTTCTGTAAAAGATTCTCGGAAATTCATTATGTATGCAACTGCCATCAGGATCATTTAATCTACTTGTAATGATTTTTTTTTATTCTTTTAGAATCATTCCCCTTAAGGACAATGCACCTCCAAATTCTGAAATCTGGGACTGATCCCAGTTTCCATAAATACACATTTAATTTATATGGCTACCCATCTTGTAGCCATGACTTTGGATGGCTAACAATTAAAATGCCCTAAAAAGAACAAAAAGCACCCCAATTAGCAGCCAAAACCATTCATAACATTCAAACTACAAAATGTGCTCATCCATATGATCTATACCTGTCATGCAGAACAAGGAGAAATGTGACAATAATAATTTGAAGTTTTCCTGTAATGTCCTGTTTAAATTTGGTTTCATCATGGGCCCCTACTGCTTTGCATATTGCTTGCAATGCAAGGTCCTAGCACAGTGGTGGTGAACCTATGGCACGGGTGCCAGAGGCGGCACTCAGAGCCCTCTCTGTGGGCACGCGCGCTGTCGCCCCAGTCCTAGGCCTTCAGCTGGGTTTTATAAAACCTTTTCGCTTTAGGCCTCCGCCGCCGTGTGCAAAAAAAAAAAAAAAAGGTTCAAGTAGTCAATTTCAACTTCTTGCGGGGAAAAAAAAAGATCTTGGAAGGTTGAAATTGATTGATTGAACTTTTTAGTCCTACCCAGTCTGCCGTTACCACCGTAGCCACACCAACCCAGTTGGCCACACCCACCCAGTTGGCCACACCCAGCCAATGGGCCACACCCACCCGGCACTGGAGGATGCATAAGTGGGTTTTGGGTTGCAGTTTGGGCACTCGGTCTCTAAAAGGTTCGCCATCACTGTCCTAGCACTATATGAATCAGGAGATAAAGTATTGGAAACCACAAAATTATAAAAACGAAGCAAATGTTACCTTATAGTTAATGGCAAATGTAGCCATCTGCATGGCCATGGACATGATGTAAACAGTGCTATTCACAAGACTGGGTTCAAACTCCTTATAGAGATCCACAAAGTCTTCTTTCCTTAAAGAAACAGAAAGATCCTTGAACGTTTTTCTCAGCCCTTCCAGGCTTGAGTATCCTCCAGATGACCTGACTTCCACTCAGAATTCTAGAAGCATGGACATCACTGAAAATTCTGGGATCTGAAGGCCACACATCTGGAGAATACCTGTATTTCCTTACAACTCAGGCATTTTTACTTCTGATTCCATATCCTCATATTTAAATCCAAGCAGCACTCACTTGGTCTCACTGCGGGCTTGTGCACCTCGATACAGATACACCAGACTGACAAAATGGACCATAAATTGTAGCAGCACTGTAAGAACTGTGTACAGATTGAAGATATTAGGGAGTGGACGCTCTTGGGAGAGGGTCTTCAGAGGCTGGAAACAAGAAGAAATAGGTCAGGGTTAGAATTCTATAGGAAGTTTGGAGCCTGACTTTTATTCACTTGGGAAGCAGCCTGCAGGATGATTACTTTGAAAATGACCCCCTAGAAGAAAAGGCCTGTCAACCTGTTGGAAGAATTAAGACACAGAAATCAAAAGAAAGCCTGTCTTTGCCAGTTCAAATCCATTTTGAAAATTGCTTTGTGCGCACACAAGTACTATAAGCTAAGTAGTTCTCATCAGTTTTCAAAGTCAGTTTTGACTCCTGGCGACAGCTTAGTTAGACAAGTCCATGTAGTTTTCTTGGTAAGGTTTTTGCAAGATTTTGGTTTGCCCTTGCCTTCTTCCTAGAGCTGAGAGAGGGAGACTGGCCCAAGGTTCGTTCATTGCCTGGAAAATGTCTGACCTTGAAACAGTCACCCTTGGATTATATGTCTTGGGTGCTCTCAGCATGAAGCAAAAGATGTGTTTTGAAAGGTTTCAAGATCAGAGCAAAACTTGCAGTTTTGTTGAGTGTGAAACAAATTGTGTCAGTTTCAAATATGGTGTACTGAACAGGGCTGCTTTATCCCCCACTTTTATACAAGTAAGTCACTGCAGTAGCCAGAATCAGTGGTAAAGTTTATATCTTCTGCTTACTTTTATATTATTACTTTTGCAGCTCAATTAGTGCCAGCAGTCCCTTGTTTTAGAGCAATGAGCAGTTTTGATGAGGATATGCCAGACAACATTCCACACAAAAAACAAAGAAAAATATCACATCTATTCCCTGATCTAGGGGGTTCAAGTGCCCATAAAAATCAGATGAAGCCCTTTTTAAAAAAAAAAATCAAAACATTAAAAAAAAATCTAAGAGAAAATGTTCTATTCTCTGTTGAGAAGGGCAGCAGGCATTTCTGATACTGAATTCTAATCCAAACATTTATTTTTCAGTGTATGAGATATGTGTCTACAATGTTTCCTATTGGGGAGTGAGTTTAATGTTTTTAAAATATTTGAAAAAAATTTCCTTGACCAAATTTTCTATAATTTGGTTCAGCATAGGTGTCTACCCAATTTTACCCTAGGGTAAAAATTTTGTTCCACTGAAACTAAACTTCAAGTCATTAAAATATGGTTTGGGGTTATTGATTCTTAGCTGGAAAAAAAATCTAAGTAGTTCTCACTTATCAACCGCAATGGGAACTGGCAACTCTGTCTGTAAGCAGCACAGTATTCATTGTGATATCATTTGACTAGGACAACTTATTGTCATTTTCAGGTATAGTCCTTAAACATGACATTACATGATTGCAAATTCCTGGTGACTTTCCCATTGACATTTCTTGGCAGAAGCCAGCTATTAAGGTTGCAAATGGCAACCATGTGACTATGGGGGCCTTCAACCATTGTAATTATGCACTGGTTGCCAAACACCCAAATTGCAATCACATGACCATGGGGGGGACTGCAATGGCCGCAACTTCAATTACTGATCACTGAATGAGTGATTGGTATAAGTGAGAACAATTCCTTGCATTTTCTTTTGGGTTTGTGCACATCTTTACATGCCACAGAACCAAACTTTATGGTCAGCTTACTGCCTTAAGAAGGTTCTAGTAGTCTATTGAAGTCTAATGCAGAGGTCCCCAACCTTTTTGGCGCCAGGGACCAGTTTCAGGGAAGACAATTTTTCCATGG